CACTTTCTAATCAGGAATAAGTTGAAGAGACAACTGTGAATCATGTTGCAATAAAGACCTAATTCCTTTTGCAATAAATACATAATTTATTGAGGTTTCATTGGTTTACCAACTATTGCACAGCATTAATATAGATGACCTTAGGGAACTCCCTGGTGGTCCAGTGTTTAGGACTCCGTGCTCTCACTGCCGAGGGCCCAAGTTTAATTCCCTGGTCGGGGAACTAAGATCCCACAAGCTTCGCGGTGCAGCCAAAAGCAAAACAAAACACACACAGATGACCTTTGAGCAAAGTCTTCCAGGAAATAAACTAGACTGAACTTAAACGCAACTACTTTTCTTATTATATTTGGATATGATGATATTAATTTATAAGTGGCTATATCCATGTCAAGGAGAGTCTGTTTCACATTGTCCTGTGGTCATTTAGGATAGGATAGGATAAATGACATAAACTCTTGGATAGAAGCACAAATTTAATATTCAAAGATCAAATCAAGAATCCAGGAGTAATGACAGACCGAAAGACAAATTGTAAGATTAAAGTTATTAAATATTAATATCAATTCTTTCTCAAATTTTAATTTTACTATACTTTATAGTTTACAAAAGTAACATTTTTCATGTTTTTTTAATTTAAGTATTACTAAACTCTATGAGGCTTAAATGAAGCTTTTATTATGTACACTTTATAGATCATAAAAATCCGACTCTCATAAGGGTTGAACTGTGAAAGTTTAAGCTCCATATTTCAGTTTATTATATACTTCCTAGGTGTCTCCAGTATGCCAGTCAGCATGCTAGATGCTACAGAATCAAAGATGAGCACGACTGGATTCCTGATTAGATCTGATGAGGGAAATAGATGGTTAAACAGTTCAATTAAATATATAAGTGCTGGCGTGGAGGTTATCACAATTAACTGATCACATATCTCTGTATAAAAGTTCTATGTCATTACGTAGGCATGTGAACTGTATTACGTACTATTTAGCCATGTGATTTGGTTGAAAGTCTGATATAATCCATATTCTGAAAAACAAACGGACTCATATGGAAGGGATATTCTTTCCAAAGAACGATCTCATATTAATAAGAGAGGATTAAAAACTATTTCTGAGAAGGATTCTTAGAATCAGAAAGTCAAGGTAGAGTCACCAGCCATCCTGGTTTTCCCAGAACTGAAGGGTTTACCAGGACATTGGACTTTCATTGCTTAAATTCAGAAAATCCTGGACAAATTAGGGTAGTTGGTCAACTTAAGTCAAGGTTAAGAAATCATTAAACAAGTTTGTTATCCCAAGAACCAAATTCATTTAGGCTCAAGCCCATGGTTGAGATCCATTTATTTTTGGATTAGGTTGGATTATAAAAACCAACAAGGAAGAGGAAGTCAAATAATTTATATTTGTAGAACATTTAAGTTTATAAAAATTGTCACAATCTTTATAAATTACCCATGTGTGTTTCATGACACTGATAAGAACAAGTATCCTTATCTCCATTTTACAGATAAAGAAACAGACTCAAAGAGATAAGAAATTTGGCCAAGGGCATAAAACTCTAAGGGTCAGGAAAAAACCTAGAAGCCAAGACTACGTAAGGATCCTAGATTACTTCAATGCCTGGCGGTAAAAAGTCCAATTATATAATAGCTTAGCTCACCCAGTCAAAAATGTTATTCATGAGTATTAGTATATTAGGGTTGCACTTAAAGTGCAATCCATCAACAGGAGAACAAGGAGTGACATAAACTCAAAGTCAAGTGGAAGTTTATAAATACTAGGAACACTCAACTCCTGGGGCAATTTAACCAAAAGATTTGTGCATACGTAACTTCTCTGAAGTGCTCGACTTTATAACTGTCTATCTTTATTGCTGTGTTGCAACGGTGATAAATATCAACCCCAGATGGTTCTTTGGAAATCACAAAGCACTACACAGATATAATATTTTACCATTGTTTTTTAATTTATGTACCTCAGGTCAGGATCTCAGCACCTGGTGCTTTATCGCTCTTAGGCTAAAGTAATAATTCCGGTTAGTTTTTCACCCTTGAATAGATGAGTCAGATATTGTTCCTGCTCTCAATGTTTCTGGGGCTAAAGCCACTTATTCCAGAGCTAGGGTGGCACTATGTGCAGTAATTTCTCTGCTTTAGTAGTCTTCTCACCTACTTATCTGATCTCTAAAGCTCCTTTTGGGCGGACCAAACACACACACACTTTTGTGGTATTTCCCATTATAAATTTTGACCATAAAAAACTTTCACATTATAAATTTTACCGTAAAAAAAGGTCAGATGAACCAATGAGTTTTTAAGAATGATAAAAATAAAATACCTCAAACTGAACCTTTCACACATGCAAATTCTGTTTAGTTTCCTGTTATAACTGAAGAGGTTTACAGTTAGAAAGGAAATTGCAACTGCTTATTCAAAAATGTCCTCTGTACTCACTTGCATTCGATTTAGGATCCATCCATATAATTAGTTGCTCAAGGCTTGAGAAAAATTATTAAAGACCATGTTTCTAAACAAGATAAACAATTCTAACTAATTTCTCTCCTTCTGCTAGGGAGTGATTTCTCCTCTTATAAATATATCATAAAAATATCTATGATCATAAAGATCTGTACCCCTCATTCCAAAATGCCAATAGCATATGTGTTTATTTTTCACATTGAAAAATCAGTATGTTGTTTTGGAAGTTTCACAGAATTGCCCAGAGAGTTATGCAATTCAAGGTCGGGGGTATAATGACATAACCAATCAGTAGTTTGCAGTCATTAAGTAAGTATGGCAAAGATGCTAGCTGTTCATGAGAAAATTTATGTTCCACCTTCTAGAATATGGTAGGTGTTTCTCAGAGACATCTTCCCAGGCAGTGAGTATATTCCCCGGCACCCCCTTGCATAAAGGTACAGTCACATGACTAGTTCACAACAATAAAATAGGAGCAAAATGATGTGTGTTACTTCAGAGCCTGGATTTTTAAAAGAAGTGGTTGTGCCCTCTTCACTCTGTCTCCCTCCACCTTTTGGAGGCTAGTGGATGGTGGAGCCGCAAGATGGAAGGATACTGAGTCTCTGAAACACTACATGGAAGGCCACCACCAAGCAGTAACATCCTCAATAGACTGTTCCAGGAATGCGAAAGAAAATTCTATCATGTTAAGCCACTGGAATTTTAAGGTTCATTTTTTTTCAATATCCTAATTGAATACTCTAGGCAAATAAATTCCCACCACTAGCATCCACTTGTTGTTCTGTCCAGGAAAATATGATGCTTGAAAAAGCCAGTTCTTAACTGGGTGTAGACATAATAGGCCTTATCTACCCCTGATGTTTAACCACGCTGCCTGCTGCAAGGTGCCATTCACCTGAGCTATTTTCTCAGGCTGGAAAACCTCTTACCTATCTCTACCCTTCTGATTTTAGCTATTACTACTTGTCTTTCAGATTTCTGTTTGAATATTACTTCCAACGAGAGGAGTCTTTTCTACTTCCCACCTAAGTCACATCCCTTCTTCATGGCCTCCACAGTACCATGCATCTGTTCTTAGCACTTATTACCAATGCAATTTTACATTGACTTTTTGGAATTATTTTATTGACGTCTGCTTTCCTTACTCGACTATAAACTTTTTAACTTCAGAAATAATGTCTTTTTGTTTTGCTCAGTATTGTGTCCACCATATCTAATACAGATCCCAAAACAGAGAAGTCCCCGAATAGACATTTGTTAACTGGATATAATGAATAATTAGCTCAGTGTGGTATTGTGACAGATGAAGACCAAAGAATGCAAAGAACTTGATAAAGGTATTTTTATGGAGTTCACACTTTTCTCTTTTCCTTCAGGTTAATTACTGGTCTTTTAGTATCTCAGTGGAGAAAATAGTGAATTGCCCACAGATAAACTGGCATTAAGTAGAAGAGAAGTTGACTACTTACAGCAACAAATTTAAGATTTTATTCCTGACAAAAGACCATGTCTATAACCTTACTCATCGAAAGCTTCACTTTTTTTTGCCCTGCTAAGAATCGTAAATCACAGTCAAAGAATCTGTGCACCTATTTTATGATATTTTGGGTGTCCAAAATATCACAGTAACAGTTACTGATTTTATAACCTGTAAAATTTCCCAGAATGTTGATCACTGTAACAAAATGTGGAAAATACAACTTCACTAAGACCCTGTTTTGGTCCATTTGTGGAGTGGTTTTCCCTTAACTGCCCTCTCTGGGGAAGAGGTATGACTCTCCTAAGGGTGAAATTGAGAAAAGAACTTGAACATATACAATTCAGCCTTTTCCCCTCTCTGCATTGTGCACCCCCTGCTTCCAAAAAGTAGGCACACCAGGGTCACTGCTTATAGGGTCAGCATTCTGGAGATATTTTTGGCTCATCTTGCTTTTTCTCTCTACTTACCTTACGAAGCTTCATAGTTGTAAGGCTGGAATTCTGGGTAAATGCATGTTACTCCTTAGGGTGAGCCACCTCTTACCTATTCACAAGTTTCCTATTTCATCTAGTTAGTCCTAAGTATCATTTAGATCTGAGCTCAATTATTAGTTCCTTACAGTAGCCTTCCTAACACCCTCCTAAGTGAATTCAAGATTTCCTCCTCCTCCCCGTAATAAGGAGACCTCAGGAGAGGCACCTGGAGTTGACCTCTGCCTAAGGCCTCAGATAAAGGGAGCTTGAATGCAGGTGCCCACCGAAACCAAGAATGCAAATATATGAAGGACGTGACTGGCCAGGGGGCCTGAGTCCTTGGCTGCAACTCCCTTCAGAGACCATAATGCATTGGCTGTACACAGATCTGGCCTGGAGAGGACAGCTTTCTCTCACCAGGTCTGCCAGGCAAAGCCTTGGAAATTTCCTGTGATCAGGTCTGAAAATTACTCATGGGCTTTTAGGCAGGAGCCAGATTTCTCAGTGTTTGCTTCCTAGAGGTTCCCTCACATAGCTGTGGGCAGGAAGTCCAGTTCCTTACCATGTGGATCTTGCCATGGACTGGCTGAGTGTCCTCATGACATGGCAGCAGCTGTCTTTCCTCAAAGTGAATGGTCTAAAAGAAAGAACAAGGAGGGAATAAGGGTGCCTTTTATTGACTGAGTGTCAGAAGTCACAGTCATCATGTCTGCCATATTTTCCTTTTTAGAAGCAAGTCACTGAATCTATCTACACTCAAGGGGAGAGGAAGTAGATTCCACTTTTTGAAGGGAGAAATGTCAAAGAATCTGTGCACCTATTTTTAAACAACAATGCTTGAGTAGATCATCGTAAGGTTTAGATTTAAACAAGATAAGAGAAATTCTGCTCGTGGTCATACATTTAAGTCACACAGCTTAGCTGCTACTTTGACCTCCATTTTCTCAACTCCAGTTCCAAACTTAGGATAGGGAAGAAGATTTAATTAAATATCGACCTTAAGCCCAATAAGTCAGGTTTTAAATACAGTTTTTTACACTACTAACTGATTTCATCTGTAAGTTTACACAATCTATCAGTTCAATGGTAAAAAGATGATCAAATTATTCATGTATCAGTTGACTGATTAAGATTATGGCAGATGCAGAAGTTTGTTATAATGGTCTACAGTGGGGTCATTTCCTCTTTTAACCAACCAATACAAAATACCCACCATAGTTAACATAGCAATTCCAACAAAGAAAGGCTACATCTAAAATATTAACCTCAGAAAACAGTGATCATCAGCATCTTTTTCAACCACATTTTCAGATGTCAAGACCAAAAACTGTAATGTTAGAATTTATTCTTCTTACTGGAATGCTAGCAAACAAGTGAACCGAGTTTAATGTATTTATTACTGAAGGAAAAATGGCAACAATCTTGGAGGATTTGGAGTTTTGTTTTATTTAATGTTAGGAAATGCTAGGGAACTGTCGTTTCCTCTCTACTTACTACTGTTGCTGTGTATTTACTGGAACAAAAATTCAGTTTATAAACTCTGCTGAGGAAATAAAAGCAACTTTACATTGGTGGTGGCATTACTTTTAACACGAGATTTCCAGAATAACATTGTGCAACACATTGTTACTTGAGATCCTCTTCCTGTATTAGTAAGTAATCCAAACAGAATGCACCAAATCCCCTGCAGATTTAGGGAAAATTACTGGCCTATGGACTGCTCCACATTTTTCTTCCAAAATGTTGATTTTTTTCTTAATTCTGTGGTTCATTGTTCGAGAAATAATTTTTCTCTGTTTCTTTTAGTTGAGTAAAAATTAGAAATATTAGAAACTGACACCAATTCTCAAGTAAGAAACACAATAGCTGTGGGTCTTCACAGTTTCTCCCTGAAGATCATCTCTGTGTTTTCCAACTGCAAGTTTCATCAAAGAAAAACTGGCCTGTCTTGTCCACCATTGTCTCACCAGGATCCTGCCCCATGCCTGGCTGACGGGAGTAAATAATTGTGGAAGAAATTAGGGAAAGCTACACTTTAGAACTAAATTACTGACCTGCCATGAAAAGAAAAAAAGGTGTCTTTACTATAAACTCCCCCTTGTAGGTGGGAGGAATTTTCTCAAACTGAGCTTTGAGAAGAGGACAACTGTTTCCTAACTACTGTGTGATTTTTAATTCCTTAAACTTTCAGGACTGTTTAGATATTTATCTACTTAATGACTGCAAAGCTTTCTGAAAATGGAAAATTCCAGACACACACTGAATTTTTAAAATTTAGGTAATGAAAACTTTTTATGTAGTCAGATACTTGGTGAGTACCGGGAGGGAGGTGGGGAGATCAGTGATGAACAAGATCGACCCAGACCTTAAGAAGCTTGCATTCTAGCAAAGGATAGAGATTGTTTAGTATTAAACAATTAACTACACAACCATTAGCTTAATTATAAATGCGATGGCTGAACATCAAGGAGAACAGAGGGAGTACAACAGTGTATAGGGTCTGATCTGGTATGGGGAGTCAGAGAGGACTTCCTTGACTAAATATTTGAGCTGAGTTCTAAAAGATAAATAGGAATTCATGGATAGGCAAGGGGTTCTAAAGAAGAGAAGATGGGAGATTGTGAAGGGAGAAAAAAAATGGTCCTGGACTGAAAGAAGAGCAGTAGAAAAGTATCTGAGTAGAAATGGAATATGGTGTATGTATAAATTTGAAAGAAGACCATGTGACTGGAATTCAGAAAGCCTATTGATGATTTTTAATGATGCTGATAAAGGGTAAAGCAATCCAAACACATTTACTTTCTTAAAAGATTATTTTGGCTCCTGTTCTACAGCAAGATGGTATAGAATCCTTTATTCTGTGCTCCTCTATAAATACAACAAAATACCCAGGAAATTGTCCATTAGACAATGAAGAAAGAACTCTGAAAGTAAGCTGAAAAGAGTGGCAACAGCACTGGCTAGGAAGGAAGAAAGAAGGCAGACTGCTGAGAACAGAACTTGAGGACATGGAGACTGACTACGTGGTGAAATTTCCTAGATTTTCCTTTTATCTCCTGTATGCTCCTAGACTGGGCACAGGAGAGGTCTAAAGCCCAGAACCACCCACAGGCATAGGCAAAACAAAAACGACCCCAAAGAAAAGCTTGTCCTTTCTGGCCGAGGACTGGAGAAGGAAAGCATGACAGACACAGTGGAGAGTCGTAATCCTCATTCTACAATCTGGACCTGGCAGTGGTCCAATCCACTGGCAGCATCAATAGCAAGAAGGTCCAACCACCCCAGTCCTCACTGCCCCAACCACCCCAGTCCTCACTGCCCCACCCGGCTTCCAGTGGCAGTGCTGTCCATGGCAGGGGCAGCATCAGCAGCTGCCTGTGTCTCCCTGCCATTCACTCAGGATCATAGGAGGGCCAGACCCAGTGGCTTCCACTCTCCTATCCCAATGCAAAAGCTGGTCCAGTGACACCAGGTGGACAAGGGGAGGGCCTTCTATACCTGAAGAAGGCACCAGCAGGGACTAAGTTGGGGTGGCTTAAACAACAGATATTTTTTCTTACAGTGCTGGATGCTAAAAATCCCAGATGGAAGCACCAGCAGTATTCTGTGAAGAACACAGGAGTGGTTGCTAGGGATTCAATACAGGGGAGGGGACGGGTATGGTTATAAAGGGGTAACATGAGGGAGTCTTGTGATGGTACAGTCTAGTATTTTGACCGTGGTGGTGGTTACACAAAGCTTACACATGTGATAAAATTGCGTAGAACTACACACACACACACACACACACACACAACTGCGTGAATAACTGGTGAAGTCTGAATTAACTCTATGGACTATATCAATGTCAACTTCTTGTTTTTGATATTATACTCTAGTTGTGTAAGGAGTTAGCATTGAGGGAGGCTGAAGGAAGGATGCACAGGACTTCTCTCTGTCCATTTCTCTATAAGCGCCTATGAATCTATAATCACTTCAAAATAAAAAGTTGAAAAAAAAAGACGTTTGGCTTTTATGGGAAAATTGGAACAAAAAGGGCAAGAATAAGTAGAGGAAGACCTGTAGCAGGTTGTTAGGGAAAGGTGATGTGTGATGGCAGTAGAGAAGGAAGTAAGTGAATTGATAAAATATTTAAGAAGTGTCTGTATAATATCAATAAGGCATAATAATGATTTAGGTATGAAGGTGATGGAGAAGGAAACACTGAGGTTTCTGACCTGTAAAGCTTGTAGAATTTGCTACCACTCGCTGAGACAAGAAATAATGAACGAAAACCCACTTAGAGTAGGTGAATATAACGAATACTATTTGAGACATGTTCATTTTGAAATACCTAGAAAGTATAGTAATGTAAATGTTATTGGTTGAATGTATGGGCCAGTGCTCAGAAGTCAGGGTTAAAATACATAAGCTTGAGTTGTCAGTGGAGAGATGACTAAGGGTGTGGCTATCCCAGATTGCCTAAGAAAAGAAAGTGTGGAGTGACAAGTGAAGAAGACCTAGGATAGAACTTTAGGAAACTACATTGTTTTGAGTTCAAAAAGTAAAGAAAAGAAGGATGAAATTACAAAAGAAATGAGGAAAAGAGAGGTCAGTAGGATAAGATATCAGAATATATGAATTTAAGTCAGATTGAACTCAGCAAATGTAAGGTCTTAGGATGGTTGCATTACTCTTCAAATCAGGTAGAATTTGAGGAGGATTGAGGAGGAGGTGGGAAATATATCCTCAGTTGGAAAGGGACTGCCCATTCTCTTCTATTTTACTATAAGGCAGTTAGAAAAGAGGCTCTCCGTGACTCAACGTGGTTGTCCTGCATTGTATTACACCCAGAAGAATGCTGCAACTAGACAGGGGAATGTCTGTGCTGCATCTCAAGGTTAGTTTGAACATTTTAAGTAGCACTGCACTGACTCTTTATTGTTTTCCAGGTCCTTCAATAGATTCCTACTTGACTTAAGAAAAACAAGAGAAAACAGGACCTTATTTGGCTGTAACTCTTTTTCTTTTCTGGAAGGTCCTAAGTACTCTTTGGACTTTATTCTATAAACAAGACACATATATAAAAACTCATATATAGAAATATGCTCATAATTATGTGCCAGTTCTGCAAAGAATTTAAAATATACCAGGCCATACCTAATATAAATATATTAATCAGTCTTCTCATTAGATTCTGTTATACAGAATTTTGATATTTATTTGATATTTATTTATTTGATATTTATTGCAGATAACATCTTTGAAATTTTTTAAAAATTACTATAAATGAAATCTCATTTTCCCTTATTACACATGATTACAGCAAATCATATTTCAAACTAAACAATCAATAACTAACTTTTTATGTCAGATTGCAAACAGAGAAACAGAAGCTGACTTTACTCATAACCAAGGGTATTTAATGCAGGAGATTGGTTACACAGGTAATGGAAGTCCAAAGCCACCAAAGATTCCTAGGCTGGAGGTTCAACTCGAGAAGATAATGTTATTTGAATCCTAGAGTCAGAGTCACTCCATGGAATCTGGAACCCAGTGACCTTGATCAAAAGATGCTGGAGTCACAGAGCTATATAGCAAAATACTGCACAGGCAAAATAGGAGGAAAGGAACATCTGGCTTTTTCATTTGTTCACCCT